AGAGATCTTATCACAGGGCTAAGAAGTGTCCTATTTTATGTATTTGGCAGAATTCACATTTCTCTGAAATAAAATCTGGTCCCTTTGAACGATTTCCCCCTGGTAAGGAACCAGCAGGGGATGGAGTAGAGACAGGAGACGGTGACACTGGCACGTTTATTGATTCCAAATAGACTCTCCTGGGAGCACATCAGATGATTTTCAGGATTCAGTTGAATTGACTCTTTCTTCAAATTAAATTCTTTCATTGCAGCTCTGCTCCTCAACAATGGCCCAGTGCTGTCCTAAAGGGGCCCTGATTCTCAATTAACAAATGAGACTCTGAGTGATCTGACTCCACATTTTGCTGGCAGAGCAGAGCAGATGACAGAGGAGGTAGGGCGGAGTACAGAAACATGCCCTTCTCGGCTTTTCTCCTGGAGGGCCTGCCTGGGAGGCCAGGGAGTGGGGAGAAGCAGGGTTACATTTGCAGGGGAAGCCCCCAAAATGGATACTCTTCTAGAGGAGCTGGTTTCTCTTTGCAGTTTGTTACATCATAGTATCCCCCAAAACGGAATCCGGGGGTGGACTGGGTCCAGGAAGCCGCATATCTGGAAATGCACATGTACGGAGGAGAAAAGTGAGCAAGAACTTGCTGCTCTGAAGCTCTGTTCTTCCTCCTGCCATCACCTTGCCTTCCTTTAATTTACTTGCTTCAGGGTGCAATTTCTTATGCTGAAGGAGGCAAACAGCTGGGATGCTTTAAGATGAGGGCTGTTGACTAGAAGCAAAGGTGAAACATAAAACTCAGGAGGACAAGTGCCTTTGCAAACCCATGCTTATATCTGGAGCCTCATGAGCACTTTTGTAATTTATTAAGGCTGTGAGCAGGTACCACCAACTCCTGCAGTTCACAAATGAGGAGACAGAGGCACAGCACAGCTAGAGGATGAGTCCATATCATGTAGCACGGATGTGCATAGCCAGGATTTAAATAAAGGTTGTGCACCTTTATTTGTATGGGGTGGCTAAGAGCATAGACTCTCTCTTTGAAACCATGCTCTCTTGCCTATCAGCTGCATGACTTTGAGCAAGTTGCTTAAAGATTCTGTGCCTCGGCATTTCTACCTATAAGAGAGAGAAAAACTGTACTCACTTTCTGGAGTTGTGCAGAGTACGTAGCTAAATCTTGATGATCTAAATGTTTGTTTTTAGCAGTGGCTACATTCACAAGGTAAATGATAATGGGTTTTTGAAAAATTAATTTTTAGACCCTTAGTCACAAAGCAATATTCAGTGTAATAAAGGAGCAATGTTAGTCTGTGGGGGGATCTTTTCAGGTAAAGGGAAAGGGGTATCTCAGCTCCTGAGAGCATCCTCAGCCAATGCCTTCCACAGCCTGGTTCTTGCAGCTCCAAGGGGAACCAAGGAGACTACTTACTTGAGGCAAGAGGTATGGGGACATCCCTCTAGGAACCCCATGAAGAGAGCTTCTCACTTTGCCTGTGACCAGAACCAGTGGTGTATAGAAGGAAGCTCCATATGCTCTTCTGACAAACTTTCCATTGCTCTGAAGGCCATAATGAGAACCGATCTCAGAGTGGTGGCCAGCATGTGTCAGAAAGAAGTTTGGGTCCTCTTTCTCCAGGGTCTATTTAGCTGAAAAACTCTTCCATAGGGCTAAACATCAGCATTTCACCAGATGAAGTACAGCTCTGGCAGAGTTTGCTCTGACCTGAGGGGTCTTGGCATTCTGAGGGTGCCATTGCATAATGAATAGAAGGTCAAGTCTGGGAATCAGTGAGAAGTAGGTTCAAATCCCAGCTCCACTTCTTACCAGTTTTGAGATCATGAGGAAGTTACCTGTGCACACTGAGCCCTGATTTCCTCCTCTGAAAAATAAGGACAATTGCATCCTCTACTTGGTCACTGTGATGATTAAAATGTGCTAATCTATATAAAGCTTCTAACCCAATGCCTGGGACATAATCTTTTAGTATTTGTGAGCTATTGTTGTTTTTATTATTGATAATATTGATGCTAGTAACTAATAAAATTATGATTCATTAATAGACAATTAAAATTTTCAGGGAGAAAATTTTCCCAGTGGACTTTGATCATCAGTTTTTTCCAGCTTCCTTCGGTCCATCACAGTCCACATTACCTCTGAGCTTCTGAGCCATCTGAAGGGCAGAGTCACGGCCAGGAAGGCTTCTCAGTTTCAATAAGGAGACAGAATTTGTATGGAGAACAGCAGGTATTAATGAGTTTGATTGGTCTCCTCAATGGATTTCCAAACATTTTAGCAGATTCATTGAGGTCAGAATTTCAGCAAGTACAAATAGTTGTGTCCCTGTAAGGGGGAACCTTTGAAGTTTAGTTTCCTCTTCTTGCTTGGAATGCTAGGAAGCTCATAACCAACAGTCTTCTTATCCTCCTTACTATTTTTCTATAAGCCAAATCATTTTCTGACTAAGAGACTTTCTATCTGCTGCATTCCCTAAATATATGTATCACCTTCTTCAGCTGTCTGTCATCTCAGATACACTCTCCCTGATGTGGGAGAAGACCATCATTAGAACACCCGAAGAATGAACTCACAGATGGGAAGTGCAGTGGAAGCGAGATATTTATCCATGATCTTGCAAGAGCAAGTGTCTGTGTACCGACAGGCACCCGTGGTCTAAGAAAGCAGTGGGTTTTTATCCTTAGTTCGCAGGGCCCCTTCCCCTTTTCCTCACTGGTTGAGATCAGAGAGCCACAATCTGTTCCAAATGGTGCCTACTGTTTCCCTTTATGGTTGGTCCTTGATTTCCTATAAAAATCACCCCCTTTTGCATTCTTTCTTTGTAACTCTTGGTGATCTCTTGGTTTTTATTATCATAATTATGAAAACCTGCTTGCCTAGCAATTCTCTCTCACCTCAGGACCTCATTTTGGTTTGGGAACTTTTGGGGTGTGAGTCATTTAGTGGTCTTTTTGTCTGCTACTTGACCTAGTTGCCTGCAGGTGAGCATATTGACCTATCCGCAAGTCTCTACTGAAACTCAGTTAAAATGAAACATGGACTGTCTATTTTCTTATTTCTTACACTGTCCTATTTCAAATATTATCTTCATCCCAGTTACTCCCCATTTCCTCACCTGTTTTGTAATTTTCCCCAAGGACAAAGGGAAACCCCAAGTACAAGTTATGTCAGTTTGGTCTCCAAAGTCTCCATAAATAATTTTGTTCCGTTCTCTTAAAAAATTACATGGCAAAAGTATCAAGAGCCTTAAAACATTCACTTCCTTTGGCTCAGCAGCTTCATACATAGGAATAGCCTAAGATAATACTATGAAATACAACAAATGGTGAACAAACAGTACATATAAAGGTAGCCTTATTGGAGAGAAAAACAGGAAATAGCCTGTTAAAATGTTATTGAACATTAGTATGTTAGAACATCATCCAGATATTTCAAGTCTTTAATTCTGTGGGGATACCACTAGAGTGAAACATATATGGATATTAACATTTACTTACAGTGTGGTTCTGAATGAGTCCATAGGAGACTACACATCAAGCTGTTAAGGTTATCACTGCCAGAAAGTTAATACAGATGGTATTCTCTTAATTTCTTTCATGTTTTCTAAGGTATTTTCCAATGAGCATGTGTCATACTGTAATGGAATAACATAGTAACGTACATGAAAGGATTCCTACAAGCCCCACCACGTGCCTTGTTTCCATGAAAACAATGATCATTCCCACAGGCAGAGGGGGGCCTTCCACATCCAACCTGATCCACCACATTCCCAGTGTTCTTGGACCTGGGAAGGCAGGGCTCTGCTTTTTGAGTGTGTGCTGTTCAGGAAACAGCAGGCCCAGCGAATAACAACCCTTTAGATAACACAAATGAGTAAATATGGCCAGGATTTGTTACATAAAATGCTAAAAAAAAAAATAACAAGGATGTAACCACTTATTTTTCCACCTTCAGAAATCCCAGCTTCTGTTTCTGCCAAAAAGATGGAGGGTGGCGAATTGTTCAGTAAAAAAAAAAATTAGAAGTCTTTTTTTTGAAACTGACAGAGGAAGTAGTGGGGTTGATAATTGATGAAAATGAAGCTTTCAATAAAATAAAAGATGTGTCTGCATCACTGCAGAAAGCACAACAAGAAGCAGGCTGGCTTCTGTGACTTGAGTGTGACAGCCGAGAGCTACAGAAGGACGGGATCAGGGGACAGCGCAGATCTGCAAGACGGGCATGGAACCTTCCCCTTCTCTGACACACCGAGTTCCACACAGGCTCAGGGGACCCTGCCTTGTCCCATGAGGACCTGTCTCAGGGCTTCGGTCAATTTAGGTAAAAGCTCCAGAAGCACAAGAAGAACACTTCCCTGTGAGTCAGTTTCCTCCCCAGATTCCCGAGCTGTCTCTGGCGCCCGGCCGGTGGCCTCGGCTCTCTCTGCGCACCCTGGGCGTCAGATTTCGGCGCGGGCTTTCGCGCCCTCTTGCTCTGTCCAGGACGTGGCTTCCCCGAACCCCACATTCTTCACCGCAGCGTTAGGCCACACCCACTTGCCAGCTGCGACCCCGTCACCTGCCAGGCTCCTGCCGGAAGCGGTGACCCCGGGGGAGGCTCAGAGCTGAGGGAAAGGCGTCCTGCACTCATTCCCAGTGCCCTTTGAAGGGCTGATCAAAGTCAGGTAGAACCTACCGGATACTCTGGGCCAACGCCAGGTCACAGAATTTGGTCAAGTTGTCGTGAAGACTCAGCCAGGATCTTGAGCATTGATTTTCTATGCTTTTTGAGTTCAGTACTTTTCCAGAAGAGTAGGAAGCCTGAAGTAGACAAGCAACTTCCCTGAATTCAGGCGGATAAAATTCTGCTGATCAGACCAACGCTCTTGGTCAGATAATGGCTTTAACTAGGAGACAACTATCAAATTCAGTCCATAAATGTGTTTCCTTTACCTATGTAAACATTATCATTTATTTAAACCATGCGGCAGGTATAGAACTTGAATGATTCCAAGTGAAAGTTTGCATTTAGGACTTTATTTCCAGAAGAAGAGGAGGAGGAGGAGCAAGAGGAGGCAGAAGAGGAGGAGGAGGGAGCTGGTGATGATTCGTTGTCTCAGTGTCCTAGTTAAAAGCATGAACTCTGGAGCCAGATTTCCTGGTTTCGATCTCAGCTTTGTGATTGGAAACAAGATATCAGACCTCTCTGTGCTCCAGTTCTCTCATCTAAAAACTGTAAACAATAATATCAGGAATATCTACCCCAAATGTTTGTTGTAAGGATAAAATTAATGTCAACAATTCTTGAGAATAGTGCCCACCATATATGAATATTAGAACAGTGACTGCACAGTATGAAACTGGCCTGAATTCATAACAGTCATCCTCTCTTGCTCTACATGGGGCATAAGCTCCCAGTTAACCATGCTTCCCATTCAACTCCATTCACTCATTATAGTAACTGCCTGACCTCTTTAAGTATTTGATTTTGAGGCCTTGATCTTGAATGGAGATATGGGATTTGCCTAAGTGGGAACTTTGTAAAACTATGAGGGTAAGAGTGTCTTATGTAACAGCTCAGGGACCCAACACCTGGTGACTTTCCTGGCACCAGAAAGACAATGAACACTATAGGTGGAATATTATTTCCTTCCCTTGGTTTGACCATGTGAATTGGCTTGGGCAACTGACTGAAGCAGAGTTGATAATGTGTTCATTCTATTTATTTAAATGTTTTTTGGTACCGGGGATCAAACTCAGGTCTTTGCACTTGCACAGCAGGTGGCAAAACCACTGAGCTAAATCCCCGGCCCGATAATGTGTTCATTCTAAACTGAAGCCTGAAAGGGCTCTCCATGTTTCCACCAATCCCCATGTACTTTGTCTGCCACCACTGAGAAGGAAAATCTTAGACTGTGTGCCCACGAAGAAAAAGAGTGATGTATGAAACAATGTTATCCCGACTAAGATGACCTTACCAAGCTAAGACAACCTATCTAACATACAGTAGGTTCCCAGTTAATCAACAGAAATAGTAACAAACCCAGAAAAAAATCTACTGAAATCAGCATAGGTCAGCTAATCTTCAATGAATTCACAGTTAAATGAGATACAATAACAAGTGGATATTCTTTTAAGCCACCAACTTTTGAGGTGAGTTGTTAGGCAGTAAATGCTAGCTAACGAATGTTCAAGAAAGACCCTTAGCATCATACAGTGACCAAACAGGGTATAGCAAATTTTTCTACGACACAGTAATCAGGCTACCTGTCTTAGGCAGGAGCAGAATCTCTGCAAGGACTGTCCTGCTTTCTTACATGATACATCCAAATATTCAGAGGTTGCAGAGTTGGATATCTCAGCTATCAGCTTAATATTCAACTCTTCACATAGCACTGCACAAAGCCCTTCGAAGTCCTCTCAGTTTCCCTGTCTTGTTTTATCACTGTGGTCTTCTCCACATCCTCTTGCACACACACACAATGTCCATCAGAGTTTTGGGTTTAAGTGAACATTCCGGACACATAAGGAGAGCCTTGCAGCTTGGATCTGAATACCTGCCAAGAGTCTAATGTGTTCAGGGATTGGACTATCGGAGGGTAATTGAATGGTGGGGGTGCTGTACCCATCGGTGGATTGATCCACTGTAAAGTTCAGAGCTGAGTGAGCTGTCAAGAGGTGGGGTCTAGTAGGAAGAGGCAGGCCACTGGGGCCATAACCTGGAAGTGTATATCTCCTTTCCTGTGTCCCCTTTTCCTCTCTGCTTCCTAGCTGCCGTGATGTGAACAGCTTTCCTCTACCGAGGTCCTTCCACCATGCCATTTTTGCCTTGGAACGAGCCAACCATGGACAGTAAATATGTGACAAAATAAAGCTGTCCTCTAAGATGTGGGTATCAGGTATTGTGTCTCAGTGACAAGAAAGTGACTAAGACAGGGAAAATGGGCTGGATATGAGAATGTATTAGAAAGTTATTGGATTGGCTTGAATTAGGACTGCAGGAATAATGAAAGAAATAAGCAAGGAAATTCAATAATAAAACCAACACCATAACAAGACTAACTAGGTGCTTCTGATGTGTCAAGTAGCATTCTAGTGCATGACATATTTAATCAACAATTTTATCAATTAAGTACTATCACATCCTCCTTTTTACAGATGATGATGTTTAAGCTAAGCAACTTGCCTAAGGGAGCCCAGTCTGCAAGTTGTGCATTCAAACCCAGGAAGTCTAGATTCTGGTCTGGACTCTCAATCACTGCATTACTTAAGAGCTTTGCAGGTGGTGCAATAAACATAACTTAGTGGTTAATTAACCATAAGAGATAAGGAACAGGGAGTTCAAAAGGAGTGCAGTCCTCTCATTTGCTCTAGGTGAAAGTGTATGCATGCTTATGTGTGTGCCCATTTACAACGATAAAACGAAGGGCTCTGTCATTTCTTCCCTTACAGAGAAAGGTTTTGATTAATGAAGAGAAGGCTCATGGGAGAACTATTATTGTCACCAAAAATTGGAAAAACTCTGGTATGGAGGTTGATTTGACTTGTTCTCTGGGGATCAAAGGATCAGAACTGAGACAGGCAGATAAAATTTTGTGAGAAATGGATTTAGTTTCAGTGTAAGGAATACCTTCCAGGGGTTCAGGACATTTAGGAATGAAAAGAGCCACTATGGAGGTTCTGAGATGGGTGTCCGTGAAATTGTCTAAATAATGATCATTTGGCAGGTATGATGAACAGGAGAATCCAGCCCTTGGGGTGTGTGTGTGTGTGTGTGTGTGTGTGTGTGTGTGTCTGTCTGTCTGTCTGCATGTCTATGTGCATGTGTGTCAGATAAATAAATGAATTGTTTCAAAACCATCATGGAACCATTATCTGAAATAACTTGTTCCGAACGAATACCACAGCTGGGTACTCATTTCAGACTTGTATAACATGCAGAAACTCTTTTGAATCTGTTTCCCTCTTTGATTTTTTTTTTCAGCAAATACAGTAGCCACAGCTCAACAAAAGAAATGACAGTCTGCTGGGGGAAAACCTGAATATCCTTTGTTATGCCTTGTTCTTGAAAAAAGATCCTCCTTCTCGCTAGAACAGAGATCAATGCCAGCTTTTCTGCTAAGGCAAGCAAGTAGTCATTTATTTATTTTTTACTTCCAAAAGATGACTACTGAGAGCAAAGGCACAGTGCCCTCATTCAACTGAATACCCTAGAACTTTTGCTCTTTCACACTGTAATTTTCTTAATGTGTTTTGAAAGAGGTCACTTTCTAGACAATCCCTCTCAGCACAGTCTACAAGCAGCCTCAGAGACTTTCATCCACTCTCTGCTCTTACCTTGAAATTCAGGATTCTTTTTGCTTTATTCTCACCTGAGAAGCTGATACCATCTAGAGAATCCAGATGACCAAATCTGGGATGAGAGGTGAATCTTTGGGACTCAGACCTGACCACCTGATGGAGGCTGCTAGGAAAAGACAGAAATCAGTACAAGCTGGATGTCTGAGAAATAATTGAAAAGATAAAGAAAACACTTTGCAAATCTGCCACTTGATTTAGTATGGGCACAGGAGTAGGTAACTTGCTAAATAAAAGGATCAGGGAAATATAAACACAAAGCCATGTACAAGGATACACACAAAGGGAAAGCTAAACCTTTCTTGATGAAACAGGGAAGGATAGGCAGCTCTTCTGCTGCAGAAATCCAGCTGCATCATATTCATTTTTTAAAGCCACAGACCTGTAACTTGAGTTGTAACTGACTAGCCAGTCACGGCCTTGAGGTTCTTAGAAATCAGGATCTCGGTTCACCCTGGGCAAAATACCTCAGCACCATGGGCTGAACTCAATAGCCGTGGTATGTCTGTCTTTGTTCTCTGATTTTGCTTTTCTATTATTAAGAGGTTATTAGCATGTCTGCGGTACTGATTATACTCATCGCGAGAAGTGGCATGTGTGCACAGCACAGCTTGATTCTTTGCACTTTCCCTTCCCCTTCTCTACCCTTTCCTCCTATCTCTTGGCCCCCTTTCCCTTCACAAAAGATCCATTTTCTTAGATCCATTGTTTCCTGTTTTCCACCTTTTATTTTTCTTTCAAGTTATTTATAGTTTGGGTTTCTCTGCAAGAGAAACCACGTGATACTTAAGATTGTGTATCAGATTTATTTCACTTAATATGATGGTCTGAAGGTACATTCATTTTCCTACAAATGACTCAAATTTATCCTTCTTTATGGCAGAGTAGTACTCCATTCTGTGTAAATACCACATTTTTTTTTATCCATTCATCTGTTGATGGAAATATAAGCCTCTTCCAAGATTTAGCTATTATGAGTTGTGATGCTATAAACACAGTATGCATGTATCATTGCAATGTGATGCTTTCAACTCTTTTGGGAACATATCTAGAAAGAGACTAGCTAGGTCGAATGGAATTTCTTTTTTTAATTTTCAGCTTTTGTTTTAAATCTCATTTCAAAGCAGAAGAAATTGATCACAGGGAACCATCATTCAAGCTACAAAAAGAAGGAAAATTTATAGATTCATACATTAAAAAAAAGTCTTGATATCCAAACAAGGGAGTAAAATCTTGACAAGTGGCTCTGTAAATAAGAGATGAAAAGCCGCTACCTTTATCATGTCTCTTAGCAGCAGTCAGGTGCTATGGATTTCATGTCCCCTGGAAAGCTCAGAGCCAAGTGTACAGTCTGCCTATCAAAAGTAGCCACGGAGATAATAGTACACATTTTTTAAAATTCTCATTTCTGGCTCCATTTTATTGTTCTACTCTTCTATTTTTTAACCTTGCATCTGATTTCGAATTTAGGCTTTATCTTTTGACATTACATATTCTTTGGCATCCTAAGACATATTCTGGAAAGCAAATCATTCAAATCACGCACCCAAACATACAGACATGCATGTGTATGTGTGATCACATGACCTACATACTTCTGCTTATATTTTTCTCTTATAAGACTATATACTCCCTATACAAAAAAGTTGAGAGTACTCCATGAATAACATAAAGACAAAGCTAATACATAAAATGTATTTGAGTAATGGAATTACTACTGGGGTTACTTTGCTAACCCTGTGGGGACTTTATATTTCCAGACTACCAGAGATGGAAGACGCAGTTTGCAAAGGTAGCTTCCAGAATAAGTTCTATCTCCTATGACCTTTGGCGATTTCATCAAGTTCCGGTGTTCATCTCCAAACACTGCTTCCTGCAGTGTAGTAGAAGTGACAGTGTGTAAGTTTTAGAATCCAGGTTCCAAAGGTCTTGCACTGTCCACCTTCAGCCATGTGCAATACATGTCTGAGAGCACCACATATGCCAATAGATCTAGTCCCCTGATGAAGGAAGAGCCACATAGAAATAACCAAGGTATAGTAAGCAGGCCAGGCCAGTCAGCAGCCAGCCTGCTACAGTTCGCAGAGCTGGTTGGTGCCTGAAACTAGGCTACAACTTATTTCTCCAAGCCTCTCTCCTCGTGTCTTTAAAGAATGTGTTCAGAACTGCAGCTCTCCTCTGTGTGAGAAGACAGCTGCTGTGAGATCAGAACGCTGAAACACACTAAGCAAAAGACCACAAGAAGCATCAAAAGGCAGACCTCTCCTCCCAGCCAGCCAGTTAACAGTCGGCTTAGCACGTTTACATGCAAGCAAAAGGGCATCTCTGGGCTCCAACCCCTCATCTGCATAATAAGCAGGTTGGAGAGGTGAATCCTCAAGTCTTCTTTAAGTTCTAAGAGGACTTGATTGTGTGACTCTAATTCATGCCTCTTTATCACAGCAAGAGCTCAGGGATTTTACTGTGACAGGCTAGAAACCAGGGAGGGGGAGGCAAGGGCATTGCATTGCATCCTGTCAGGTCCTCTGCTTCTAAATGGTAACATTGTCGCTCACAACTTATCTTGCTGTGAACTTTCCTTAATGGTTTACTTGGATTCAGACTCAAATTAATCATCCTGGGCAACAGGCAAGACAAGTTCATCACTAATTAATTGGCAGTGACATGAGATTCTGTGTTCTATGCAATGCCATACCACCTGTGTCTATGCCGACCCTCTGGTGCATAGAACAGCAAATGTTTGTTGAATGAATAAATCTCTCTTCTAAAGTAACCATGCTTATTTTCTCTATTTTCTCGCCCTCTACTAATTCCTCAAATCACAGTATTCTTGCTTTCATCTCCACACCAGCAATCTCAGTATTAATCAGGATTCTTCAAGCATTATAAGAAGTACAAACACAATTCAAACTGACTTAGGTGAAAGAGGGACTTTTGGGATAGTATGTCTGGAAAGAAATTTGGGTGGCTTACAGAGATCAAAGAAAACGTTTGGGAGTTTGGAGCTCATAGATGCATTCTAAAACTCAGTGCTCCCAGAAATCAAAGCCAAACTCCATCCCTTTCTCTTCCCTCTCCCCTCCCCAGAACGCTCCCTTCTCTCCCCCTCTTCTGCCTTTCCTCCCTGCCCTCTTCCATGTACAGATGAGAGCCCCCAAAAGGATAAAACTATGCTGACCCTCCGATCTTGGAATTCCAGGCTTCAAAACTATGAGAAAAAATAAATATTTGTTGTTTAAGACACCCAGTCCATTATAAATTTTAATGACAGCCCAAGACAACAAATACACCCACTTACCTCTTTGATCTTTTACGCTCTTTTTTGGTTGGTGTTTACCTGGCCCCATGTTTTCAGTGATTATTATCACTTTGACCTCCTAGTTACGATTTTCAGCTGAGTTCCCACATGAACTACTTACAGATTCTGCTGCCACAAAAAAACAAAAAAGTTCCGTGGGTGCCTTGCACTCAAAAGTGAAAACCAATCCCTTTTTTACTAGTCTTTCTGGTTTCAGCTTACTTGTTCTTATTCCAGGACACCTTCCCTTCTCTCCATATTTAATTAGGCTTTTGTGGGATCTTATAGATCATGTTATTAACCTTGTTGTAAGGCCACTTGCAGTATTATAAATGAAGTACTTGCCTATTCTCTCTTCTGCTAGATTGTGAGTTCTTTAATGGGAGGAAAATGTTTAGTGTCTGTTATAGCTACTTAATCACTGCTTGGTTACTGAGAGAGTCAGTGAAGTAATTTTTAAAAATGTACATATATGTACCAAAAATATAAAAGCTCACGCTCCAGTTGCATAATGACAATTCATTTAGCTCTTACTAAAATAACAACAATAATAATGATAACAATAATAATTTTTAAAAACCTACTGTTGCACCTTTTCAATAAGAGTCTATTTGTAAGGCCTCTGTGAAGTATAATTTTCATGCTTTATATACAAGATCAAGGAGTTTATTTAGGCTTTAGCTAACTTCATCAACTCATTTTTGAAAATCTATTCTATCTATCAGTGTTGGTTATTTTGGGATATTTTGATCTACAAATAAAGATCTGTTTTATCATTGATTGTCCTCAAGTGATAAGCAAACATACATCAGACTCTAAGATGGATTTTGCAGATGAAATGTTTCTTCTTCTTACTCTTTCCTAGGATATGTTTTTCTTCTAATCATGTGGAATAAACAAACACTGGCTGTTATATTTTACCCAGACAAGTGGCTCACTCAGCTCTCTATTTGTTTTATCTGGGCTCTCAACTGCAATTTTATACTGGGATGAATAAATTTAATGACAAAGAAAATGTTCAGACATGGTGGACTGAAAAATGGGGTATGAAATTGTTTAAGCAGAGACTTCTGTTTTAAAGTGTGCGACTAAAATAGCAAAAGAAAAATATATGTATATAAAAACAATCCATATCAGAATTAGGAAGCTACCCTATGGTATGAGAAGACAGTAGCTGAGAAAGATTGACAGTGGAAATTTTAGAAGAGTTAAAGAGCAAATAGGTCCTGGGTTGTTAGCAGCATAATTAAATAAAAGGCGACATGGTTAAGGCAGACCCTGAGTGTCAGAACGGCTTTATTTATTTGTCCTCAGGATAACATCTTGCATACGTGCCTTTGGCCCGAATATTCTGACCAAAAAAGGTTCCCAATGTGGAACCTATGACCAGAAAAAATGGGCTGTGGCTCTGTCAACTTACAACTTCCAGGAAGGACAGGGACAGCACATATGCAAATGAAAAGTCGTCTTCTTGTACAACTTAAATCTCCCTTGACCTCGCATCCCTCCTTCTCTTACTTTTTATTTAAAAAAAAAACAGAGTTATTGTCCTTATTATCTAAATCTGCACTGATTGCCAATAGAACATTAAATTTCTGAAGAATTACTGGGCTGAAGAATCACTCCCCAGCTGCCAACGTCATTCAATTTAACTTTCATCAATAATTATAAATAGCAAGCAATAAGTACCATGCATGTGAAGAAACCCAACAGTGCAAAAATGATTTTCAAAACACAATAAACATGTTAATGTGTAAGGGAACATTTAACACATTAAACCTAAGGAAACTTACTGTGCTGTCTCTTCAGTACAAAAGGACAGACTGCTGAGAAAAAGAAACAAACAGAACTCTCAAAAACAAAAATCAAAACCACGACTGCCAAACTAAAAACTAAAAGCGAATAGATGGGGCCAGGGATTTAGCTCAGTGGTTCCACCGCCTGCCTCGCAAGCGGAAGGACCTGAGTTCGATCCCCGGTACCAAAACAAAACAAAACAAAACAAAAGTGAATGGATGGATGGTCTGCATAGAATAATTGATAACAATGAATATTAAAAACTGAACTAGGATATTAAGTTGAGAGTCTCTCATAACTGGTAGAGGGGAAAAAAGGTCAAGTGTGGGGAAGATATTAAAATTTTAAATAAATGATCCAGAAAGAAAGAGGAAATTACCAAATAAAAAAAAAATCAAAGGATTTTTTTTTTTGGTACTGGGGATTGAACTCGGGTCCTTGCACTTGAGAGGCAGGCAGTGGCACCACTGAGCTAAATCCCTGGCCACAGAGGAATTTTTTTCTGAGCTAAAGAAAGGACTTCCCAGATAGTCAACAGTGATATTTCATTTATTCAACAGTTTTTATTGACTACTTGTGTACTAGGCACTATTTTAACTACAGTGATAAGGAATACAAACATTGTATCTAATCATATGATAGTGTTCTTCTCTGATTCCAGATATTAAAGAAAATGCTGAACTCTTCTGATTTCTGCCAGAAGAGACACATGGCACTGGGCTAGTCTTGCCATTGGAAATAACTACAAAACTAGAAAAAAAATGATAACCCAACAGATTTTTTTTCTCAGGCAGTGGAAAAAAGACAGCACAAGACTATGATCCCTGAAAGAAGGGACACTCCCAGGTGACCCTCATGGTCACACAGCTCTCTGTTTGGGGAAAATTCCACCAGTGTGATGTAGACAGCTGAAGACTCAGAAGGGCAGAGTTGTTCTCCTAAATTGTGTGAGCAAAGATGAGAGTTCAGAACATCTTCAATGAAGCAGCTTGAAATAAGAAATGTTTAGTAAAGTCATCAAATGAAACCTATTCAGAGGAGGCCCTAGAAGTCCATGCAAGGCATCCCCTGTAAGTCCACAGCTGAGAGCTAGGTTGTCCATTCTCAAGTGAGATGTCTCAGAGCTTACCAGGTGTCATGGGTTGGAGACTAAAGATTAAAAGAGCTGGTGTGTGCTAAGAGATGTTGGAGTCTAGTTCTAGAGTGTAGACATCTTGTTAACATATTTTTAACATACTTGAAGTCTAGAAAGAATAATGTATTTTAGGATAAGGACACATGCTAAAGTAGAATCTTCCTTTTCCTACCTTACTGAGACCTAAAACCAAGTCCAAAAAAGAGCTGCAGGGGAGACAGAATTGGGAAATTAAAGTTAGATGAGTTGGAGATGTTTGAGAAACCCTTTTCATAGAATTTGCACTAACCAAACATAGTGCTAAACACACACAAGTCTAGGTGACCATTTGTTGGTTGAGCTTCCTGCTACAGCAAGAAAAAACACTCCAAAGTCTTAAGCCATTGGCCATACAAAGAAACAAGAAAAGTGTTCCACAGCCAAGAAAAATAAAGTTGTTACTGAGATGGTACAAATGTGAGGTTAAACACAGATTCCAAATAGCCTTCTCAATCCATGAGATACAGATTCAACTAACTGAGGATCAAAAAGATTTTTAAAACTTGCATCTGTACTGAACATTTCCAGACTTTTTCTTGGAATTTTTCTCTAAGATATAGAATATGAAAACCATTCACATGGGGTTTATATTGTATTAGATATTATAAATAATCCAGAGAAGATTTAAAGTATATGGGAGATTGTACAAAGGTTATATGCAAATGATTCACATCTGTGAGAGGTCCTGGAACCAATCCACTGTAGATACCAAGGAATAACTGTATGTGCAAATGATTAAAGAAAAGACTTAGAAAAAACTACGAGAAATGGACAAAATGGAAACAAAGTCTTTGTAAATAGGGAAGGGTGGAGGGGTGAAGGGAGTGCAGGGAATGGGGAAGAAATAAGAATCAAGATACATCATGTAGAGGTACAAGTTCCCAATGAGAAATGTAAATGTATTGTATGCCTAAAATGTACCAATAAAAGAATTTTTTAAAAAATCAGACCTCCCAAATATGAAAATCCAATCCGAAAATGGACATCTGAAATGAACAGACATTTCTCACACAAAGAAGTAGAAATAGCAAATAAACATATGAAAAAATGTTCAACATCACTGGTCATTCGAGAGATGCAGATGAAAACAATGCTGAGTTCCACCTCACTCCAGAAAGAATGGCTGCTATCATGAAATCAACCAATAACAAATGCTGGCGGGGCTGTGGGGAAAAAGGAACCCTGCTCCACTGCTGGTGGGAGTGCAGACTGGCGCAACCACTGTGGAAATCAGTATGGAGATACCTCAAAGAACTAGGACTGGAAGTCCCATTCAACCCAGATATTCCCCTGCTGGGTATCTTCCCCAAAGAATTAAAAGAATCATACCACAGTGATATATATGTACCCATGTTCATAGCAGCACAATTTGTAATACCTAAAACTTGGAAATAGCCCAAATGTCCATCAACTGGAGACTGGATAAAGAAAATGTAGGTTTTTTTATAAAATGGAGTACTACTCAGCCATAAAAAAATGAGGAATTAGAGACATTTATTGCTAAATGGATGCACATTGAGGCCATACTCTTAAGTGAAATAAACAGGACACACGTGTATAAATAGCAAATAGTTTCTCTGGTGTGAGAAACTGAAAGTGTAAATAAGGACTAAAAGGTATAATAGATAATGTGAAATAGGAAGAAAAGGGGCAAAGGAGAAGTGGGATGGGTAGGGGAAAGGAAAGAAGGGAATGGAATTTATATGAGAAAATGGAAAAATGGAAGCAAAGTCTCTGAAAATAGGGCGGGATGGAGGGATTGAAGGGAGGGCAGGGGAAGGGGGTAAAACAAGAACCAAGAGAGATTATGTAAAGGTGCAAACTTCCAATGATGAATGTCATTATACTGTATACCTAAAATGTACCAGTAAAATAAAATTTTAAAAAATTTTAAAAAGAAAAGACCTAAAGGGAAATATGGCCTTAATGAGTGCCTAGACAAAAAAAAATCTCAGCAGGTAAGAGCAAACTACAAGAAAGTATCAAATGGAAAGTAGAATTTAAAAATATAGTAATTAAAAGCCCTAGGGCCGGGGATTCAGCTCAGTGGTTCCACCACTTGCCTCGCAAGCACAAGGACCCGAGTTTGATCTCCAGTACCAAAAAAAAAAAAAAGCCCAATACCTGAAATTTCAAAACCCCTTAGATGGGCAAA